CCTGAGTGCCCACACCCTGAGTGCTCACACCGAGTGCTCACCCCAGCCTAAGTGCTCACACACGCGCTGGACATTTGGCCTGGTGGTGGTTTGTGTTCAGTCGTTGATGAGTCTCCACGCCAGGCCTTGCTTGGGCACAGTGCAAGCAGGGCTCCAGTACAGTGTCTGCCGGTTCCCTGTTACCCTTTTTCCTCTCTGTTTTCTTGTTTTTATCTTATCTCCACCCGGTGTCGGAGACTGGGCCAGCTGTCACCGATAAGCAGAGCATTGAGTTTCTCTCTGAGCCTCAGCACCTGCACCGATGTGTCTGGGACACAGTGCAGGTGCCGGTTGGCCATGCGGGAAGCAGTCAGTGTGCTTGCTCGGCGGCCATGGGGCAGCACCGTGGACAGTGGAGGCAAAGGTTCCTGGAACCTCTCCTCCCCGAGGTGCTTCTGTGAGCCCTGGGCACCCTCTGCGTCGGGTGGAACTGAGTGTTGAGTGTGTTGCTGACGGTCATTTCTTGAAGTGTGTGCATAACACAGATCTGCCTGTGTGCTGTTTCCAAAAACTTGTGTGAGTCCTGTTTCCATAAGTGACAGGTTAGCGTAAGGAATGTAGTGTTAATAAGCGAACATTTCCCATGCTCCTTTCAAATGACTTTGTTAGATAAAATCCCACTATTTAAACAGGCAGAGGTGACATTGTGACTGGAACTGGTGGGTGGCTGGAGACGGTTACCTGTGACGTCTAGAAGTGACTGGGTGCCTGCCATGTCCAGCATGTGCCAGACCTGTTTCTGCAGTGAAGCCCTGCGGCCATACAGTGTCTTTGACTTTCTAGACGATGCAGGAGCCTCAGGGTGTGATGAGAGGGAGGGAATCGAGCACCTTCTTTCCTAACCGCCTGCTGGCTGTGGCGTCCCGGGGCTGTGACCTCAGTCCTGCAGGTGTGGCACCTGCTAGTCCCCTGCTCCTCGGGGCCTGAAAGTTCTAAATGATCTCGCTGTGCCCTCCCCCAGTCATGGAGTTTCCCTTCCCCCGTGTGGTTTTGGGGGACCCCTCATCTTCAGCAGTTGGCTGATAAATGGTTGCAGGTGGATGGAAAGTGGGTTTGATGGCCACCCAGCTCATGTTCCTGGCTCCCCAGTCTAGTCTCTTCCTCTCCGAAGATGGCAGGGTTGCGTCCTTTGTGGACTCAGCAGGAGAGCAGAGTAAGCCCCTGGGCTGCAGGGGTTGTGTGGGGGTGGGGGAGGCAGGGCTTCGGCTGAGTGGTGCTCCTGAGCTGCGACACAGGCCCAGGATACAGGGACGAGCTCGCCCGGCCTGCCCAGGACTGTCCATGCGCCGCAGTGTTCTCTGTCCTGCACACCCAGGATGGTTGAAGGGCAAATTAAGAGCAGCGGGACTCACAACAGTAGGTGGCTGAGTCACCGTGTGGCAGATGTGGGCAGGGCACAGGCTGGGGGTGGGGACTCTGGCTCCAGCCAGTCGGCCCTTGTCTTTGTCCCTCACCTGTCCCCATGGGGAGGTGTGGGCTTCCCTTTGGATGGTGATCATTCCCGCGTCCGCATTGTAGCCAGCAGGAGGGTGAGAGTGGGACCTCTCAGAGCACAAGGTAGAAACGCAGGCTCCACCTGGGCTTCCGTCCATGCCCGCTGACCAGAACTCACATGTGTGGCCAAACCGGGCATGCCAGAGGCTGGGCACCTGGCCTTCGAGGCTTTGGCTATGAGCCAGGCGAGAGTGAAGGCTCCCCTGGCCAGAGAGGAGGGAGGCCGTGCACGCCCAGCCGCCTCCGTGCCTGTGTGTGGGTCCAGCGCTGAGGCAGCTTCCTCCCTGTCACTTTCTGGGCCTGAACCTCGCTGCCCTGATGGGCCAGCAGGCGGCAGGTGAGGTGAGACGCCGCCCAGGACAAGCCCCTTCTTCCTGCCACCGTAGCTTGTCACCCAGAAACGTTCCCAGAGTCGCATAACCAACCTCTGTGCCTCCAGTAAGGGGCTGACCTGGTGACGAGCTCGTTCGTTAGGGTTAAGGAAGAAGCGGCCGAGGCGGCCGCGGAGGTGCCGTGGCCCAGTGGCGCGTCCTGCTCAGAGCACACGCAGCTGTCCACCCGGGGGTGTCGGCACAGCTCAGGCGCTGGCAGTGGAACAGCCCCACTTTCACGGGAGCCTCTGCCTTCAGGGGCTTAAGCCGTGCCAACAGGGTACCCGGCAATCCATTTACTTAGAAGCACCAATACTAATGCCCAGGGAGTCTTTGCTGTCTGGATGGTTTCTCCGAGGCTTTGGAGGGAGAAGGTACTGTGACCGTGTTCACCTGGGGGCAGGTGGGATGGGCGCGTTTGCTCACGCCCGAGGCCCACACAGCACCAAGTGCCGGGCCGGGAAGCACGGGCTCAGCTGCTCCGCCAGGCTGAGGCCTCCGCCGCGCCTCCCGAGGGCCCGGCCGCCGGAGCGGACACGGTCCTGCGGCTGCCACGGCCTGCATGGCGTTCCTTTGGAGTGGAAACCCTGGGTAGGTTCCCGCCTGGGACGAGAGGCTGAAATGACCTGCTGGGAGCTGGCTGTCCAAACCGCCTCCCTGCAGCTCGGGCGTTGCCGTGTGTGCGGGCGCTCGCCCTCCTGTGCCCTGTCGCCGGTTACTAGCGAGCTGATGTCCCCTGGGAGAAACTGGAGGAGCGGCGCTTCCACATGGGGGGGGCCAAACCGGCGACCCCACTGTTTTGATTAAGTAGATGGAAGCACCAGGGAGTGTGGTGTTACACCCTGGTGTCTGCGGAAAGGGAGAGGTAAGGGGTGCACAGAGTAGTTTTCATCCTGAGAGGGCCCTGCGGGTGCTTTGAGTGTCGCCGTGATAAACACCAGCGCCAGGATGCCACGGTGGATAAGATATGATTTTTCCTGGGGCTCCAGGGCTCAGAGCCCCTCCTGTGCCTTTCAGGGATCACTCACGTGGATGAGTGTGGGATGTGCAACACTGAAGCAGAGTGTTTCCCAGTGTCCTTCCTGTTTTGCCCAAATTAATTCACACTTAGATTGAAAGGTGTCCCTAGGCTGCGGGGTGGCTCCCCTATTGAAATGGGCGCTGTTTCTTCATGGAAGTCATTTGTGATATAAAGCAGGGGGTTGGACTGATGTGCAGGACAAAATCCATACATGTCTGTGGATTTGGGGTTTTCTGCAGACCGGCTGTGGGTGGAGCTGCGGCCTCCCAGGGTTTGGAGCAGGAGGGTCAGCAAGGACCGTGCCAGAGAGAAGCCCCACCAGACAGGTTCTAGGAGGAGGGCATTTGTGTCCTCTGGGAGGAGGGCATCAGGAGCATCTGGTGCCCTTGGAAGCAAGTGTTCAGCAGCCGTGGTGGCCTCAGTGGCAGGCAGCGGAGCCCAGCAAACAAACGTAATGATGTTTTAAACGTACTGACTCCCGAGGGAGCATGAGAGGAAGGCTCCTGCGCTCCGGGGCATGCACCGAGTGTGGTATGGATGTTGTAGTTTTTGGTGGAAAACTTCAGAACTGTGGAAGAATATAGGTAGGAAAAGAAAACAAAGTTGCTCAATTTGACAACCCAGACTTCCTTTGGTGGCAGCTGAATGTCTTTCTTTGCTGTCATTCTGATCACTTTATGTAACGTGGATTTTGTGTCTTTGCTGTCATTCTGATCTTTTGTGTGTACGTTGCTGTCTTCACCACAGACACGTTTCTGAGGCTGAAGTCCTGCCGTCTTCGTAACTGGTCCTGCCTTTGAGCAGAGTAACCGTGAATGATGCTGTGTGGCCTGTCCGTGCTTTCTCATGAGGACACGGGATCCAGTAGAGAGTTTAGACCTCCTCCCCCGTGATATTGGTGTTTCTGAGTAGTCACTTCTAGAATCTAGAATCTAGAATCTTTGTACGGAATCTCTGCCCTGTCTTTTTACTTTTCTACCTTTTTACCAGCCACATGTGGCTAAGTTAAATAAAATCTACATTTCAGTTTCTCAGTCACACCAGGCACATGGCAGCGTCTCAACAGCTGCTGAGGCCACCTCGTGGGGCAGTGAGGTGACCATTTCTCATCACGGAACGTCCTGTGGACTCGTCCGTCTCTCTGCATTCAAAGCAGAACATCCTGACCCGGCGGGGGGCTTGGCTGGTCGGAGCTTTGTCCCATGGGAAGGGTCTGGTGGTCAGTTTCCGGTCAAGGCACTACCTGGGTTTCGGTTTTGTCTCTGGTCGGGGCACCTATTAGAGGCAACTGATCGATGTTTCTATCTTCCTTTCTCTCTAAAATCAGTTTGAAAAAGAGACCATTTTGTGTGATTTGTTTTTACTTTGTATTAATGACTGAAATAAAATATTAAGTAAAAAAGGAAGAATAAAATAAATGCAGAAAGGATTTGTTTCCCCACAGTTGTTTTGGTTTCGTTCCCCAGTTGTTTGTGACATACAGAGTGAGTGACAGTTTGAGTGGTAGCTGCCTGGACTGAGTGCCCGCAGCCCCGATAGACACACCCGTGGGAGCCGTCCTGACCGCTGGCCCGTCCCCTGCGTCTGTGTGGACTTGCGGGTGGTGACAGGCAGCGGACATACTGCTGAAATAACTTGTTGCATGAATCTCATTCTGGGAACTCAGAGCAGGTCAACTTCAGATCCCTAATGTTTTCTTCCTTGGAAGTGGGCAGAAGCAACAGCAGAGCCCCTGGGAGGCTGGGCCCTGTCCCCGAGACTGGCCACGCCATCTCTCCCGCCACGGACCCCGGAATCAGCATAAACTCACTTCATTGTGAAAAAAGCAATGTTCCCTCCACATTTATTTGTTCAAAGCCCTCATGTTAATTCAAGCAGCGTTTAACAGGCTTTTATGTTTATAACGTTTAATGTTTATGTTTTTATGTGTTACTTCTGTTTACTCTTCATGGTACGGTCTCTTATCGTTTGAACGTTTCCTGGAGGGAGAGAGGAAAAGCCCCTGGGAATAGAAGTGTTTGCAGTTTAATCTGTCATTTGCCTGCTATTGATTTATTTTTTTCTTTTTTTTTTTAGGTTGATTGCAGTGTTTGAATGTTGAGAAGGTACAGTTGTTAAAATTGCATTTTTAGGTGGTGGGGATTTGCCCAAAGAGGGTGCTGATGTGTGGTGATGAGCGAGGCAGACCCTGGTCTGGTGACGCGCTCATGGGTCTGCTTGATCTGCTCCTTGAAGTAAGTGTCCAGTTACTTGGGAAGTAAGATCTTTTCTTTTTGGAGGCTAACAGTTTATTAAATTAGCTGACATCATGTTAGGGAGGGTGGGGGCAGTTTGCACCTGTGTGGCCCCCAGGGTGGGTCATTGTAATGGTGACAGCGGGTGACTCACTGTCCCACCTCGTCTGTCACCGTGAAGGGCAGGAGGAGGTTGGCCAGCACTGAGTTGTAGGCGCCACAGAGCAGGTGTGTTGGACAGTCACGCTCCCTCCTCCCTCCACGGCACTGACAGAGACCAGTGAACCTGCAGGCCCTGTCCAGTGTCCCTTCCAGATGAGCCCTGAAATGTGACTGCCAGGGACTGAGGGGGTTTGGGTAAAAGGCAGACACACACTGCACGCTGTTTTCCTGTGGAAAACGTCTCTGGTAGAACTGCAGCTTGAGACAGTTGTGTAGCAAGTCAGTGTGTGTCTGGTCATAACTGGGTGTGCGGCTGCAGAGGTGAATCTCACAGCTCTCAGCCTGCTCCCCTGACTGACGTTGGTGCTCAGGGAAAGGAGGAGCCGGCTGTTCCCAGGTGTCCCAGCTGTCACTCGGGCCTCTCAGTCACACTGGAGGTTTGCAGAACCTGGTTCTCTTATCGACGCAGCTGTGCATCCCATGCCTGGGAGCTGCTGTCTGTGCCCAGGTGATCCTGCAGGACGGGGTTGGAGGGGAGGCCGGGATCCTGCAGGGCGTGGGGTTGGAGGGAAGGCCGGGATCCTGCAGGACGCGGGGTTGGAGGGGAGGCCGGGATCCTGCAGGACGCGGGGTTGGAGGGGAGGCCGGGATCCTGCAGGACGCGGGGTTGGAGGGGAGGCCGGGATCCTGCAGGACGCGGGGTTGGAGGGGAGGCCGGGATCCTGCAGGGCGCGGGGTTGGAGGGGAGGCCGGGATCCTGCAGGACGCGGGGTTGGAGGGGAGGCCGGGATCCTGCAGGGCGCGGGGTTGGAGGGGAGGCCGGGATCCTGCAGGACGCGGGGTTGGAGGGGAGGCCGGGATCCTGCAGGGCGCGGGGTTGGAGGGGAGGCCGGGATCCTGCAGGACGCGGGGTTGGAGGGGAGGCCGGGATCCTGCAGGGCGCGGGGTTGGAGGGGAGGCCGGGATCCTGCAGGACGCGGGGTTGGAGGGGAGGCCGGGATCCTGCAGGGCGCGGGGTTGGAGGGGAGGCCGGGATCCTGCAGGACGCGGGGTTGGAGGGGAGGCCGGGATCCTGCAGGGCGCGGGGTTGGAGGGGAGGCCGGGATCCTGCAGCGCGGGGTTGGAGGGGAGGCCGGGATCCTGCAGGGCGCGGGGTTGGAGGGGAGGCCGGGATCCTGCAGGACGCGGGGTTGGAGGGGAGGCCGGGATCCTGCAGGACGCGGGGTTGGAGGGGAGGCCGGGATCCTGCAGGACGGGGTTGGAGGGGAGGCCGGGATCCTGCAGGGCGCGGGGTTGGAGGGGAGGCGGTGAGGACCTGGCTGCTCAGTGGGGCTCTGTGTCACCGTAGCAATGACGTCCTGCCTGCCGTGCCTCGTGTTCCTGTGGGGCGCCCTCGGGATCGCGGACGCCGCCAAGATCATCGTGGTCCCGCCCATCATGTTTGAGAGCCACATGTACATCTTCAAGACGCTGGCCTCGGCCCTGCACGCGAGGGGCCACCGCACGGTGTTCCTGCTCTCGGAGGGCCGCGACCTGGCGCCCTCGCCCCACTACGGGCTGCGGCGCTACCCTGGCATCTTCAACAGCTCCGCGTCCGACGCCTTCCTGCAGTCCAAGATGCGCAACATCTTCTCGGGGCGGCTGACGGCCGTGGAGCTGTTTGACATCCTGGACCACTACACCCAGAACTGTGACATGATGCTGGGCAACCGGGCGCTGATCCGGGCGCTGCGGCGCGAGCGCTTCGACCTGCTGCTCGTGGACCCCAACGACATGTGTGGCTTCGTGATCGCGCACCTGCTGGGCGTGCAGTACGCCGTGTTCTCCACCGGCCTCTGGTACCCGGCTGAGGTGGGCGCCCCCGCGCCTCTGGCCTACGTGCCCGAGTTCAACTCCCTGCTCACGGACCGCATGAGCCTGGTGCAGAGGATGAAGAACGCGGGGGTGTATCTGGTGTCCCGGCTGGGGGTCAGCCTCCTGGTGCTCCCCAAGTACGAGCGGGTCGTGCAGAAGCATGGGCTGCTGCGGGGCAGGTCCATGTACGACCTGGTGCACGGCTCCAGCCTGTGGATGCTCTGCACCGACCTGGCGCTCGAGTTCCCCCGGCCCACGCTGCCCAACGTCGTGTATGTGGGTGGCATCCTCACCAAGCCCGCCGGCCCGCTGCCCCAAGTAAGACCCCTGCACGCCCGGGGACCGTGTCCACAGAAGGGTCGCTAGTGTGGGTGGGTTTTCAGGAGCACAGGGCTGGTTATTTCATCATGATGCTGCTACAGGCGGGTAGGAAACAGCCCACCAGGGTTCCCTGATTGGACGGTTGGGGTCCTGGGACCACGGTTCTGCTCTGAGGGTGTCTGTGATGCCCAGGGCCACTCTGCCACATGGTCGGGACATGGGCGGGAGCCCTCACTGTAGTGTCTGAGCAAAATGTGGTGAGAAGTGAATGAGCAGGGGGTGGGGTGAGCCGTGAACGAGCAGGAGTGGCTTTGCTTTAATGAAGCACAGTCCCCTCTGTTCTGCCCCAAATCACAGTCAAGGCCCCCGTGTTCAGGGTCCACAAACGCTGCGGATAGAAATCACGTGAACAGAGTTCTTTTCTTGGCATCATAACAACTAGAAAGTTGACTTGAATGGGTGACAAGGTGACCGTGGGAAGCTGTCCCTGCACTTCCTTCGAGGCCGGGGTTGTGGCCCTTTAGAGACCTGTCCTCACTCCGCATCCTCTTGGCCAGTTGGGATGGGCGAGTCCCCTGCAGAGCTGTGCTCTGTCCTCGCTGTGTGTGTGCCACACTGGCAGGTGAGTCCCTGTCCTCAGGTGCACTCTTGGGACTGCTGTTGACATCTCACAGTACCTATAGTGAATGCAGAGCCTGTGCCTTGGTTTTCTCCAGAAGCCCCTTCTCCCCTTCCCCACGGCCACACAGGGCAGCCAGCGACCCGCTCCTTCCTGGCCCTGTCCCACATTCTGTCAGCCCCCTGGCGGGGCTGGGGGAGGAGTCCCACTCTCCCAGCCTCAGGTGAAGACCTGCGCAGAGTCGCTCGCGGGTAGTGATGTGGTTTGAAAGTTCCTTTAGGTTTTTCTGACACACGCATTGGAGCGTGTTTAGGGAGCTTTGGACATGTTGCGTGTGACACGGGAACGTGGGCCCAGCCAGACTTTGAGCCACTGGCCTGGCGTTTCACCTGATGCCCAGGGCTTGGTTCTCTGTGATGTCACATGCAGGGTAGACATGGTCTCCGCCACTCAGGAGTCATCAGGCTCACCTTGAATCCTTACCTTTTCTCTGTCACAGTCCCCTCCCTAAGGCAGCTGACACCAGCTGCCGAAGCAACTCTGGACGGTGGGGGGCATGTGGACTAACCACCAGCTGTGTCCCTTGTTACCCAGCACAGGGCCTGTCCCCACCCTCCAGTCCTGCGCCATCTCTTGGAATCACGTTTCCCGTTGTTTTCCGGGCTCTGGGGCTGAGGTGCACAGCACGGAGGATGGCTCTCCTCTGCAGCCCAGGCTGGGCTCTGCCCCAAGGTCCTCTCCCACACTGACACCCTAGTTTAACTCCGAAGTCTCCTCAGTGGCCCGAGCCTTGGGGGAGGAAGGTGGCAGTTCCTGCTCCCCTGTAGTTTCTGGTCTGACGGTGGTCCCCTGTGCAGGACTTCTTTGCTCCTCTCCCTCTGGACTCTCTGTAGTGACTCATCAGAAAATGCACCGTTTATGCAGCGGTCGTGGGTGTGCCACTGTCCCCCGCAGCATGGCACCTGCAGCGACATGCTCTGTGCACCCCAGGAGTAAGCACCCCACTGCAGGCCCCTCCACCTCAGGCACCCTTGCATCTCCCGCAGGTAAGCAAGGGACTGTTCTGAGGGATGGTCCCCTCACTCTTGGAGGTGCTGTGTCTGGGAGGTCCAGACGTCAAGGGCCATGTGTTCTCCTGGAGTCTCTGGTGGTCGGTCTGACGCGCTGGACTCTCCTGGGAGGCTCTAGAAGTGAATGAGTTTCCCCAGCGCCGGACATTTGCCAGGCACAGCTGTGACTAGAATAGCAGGGCCCAGCAGTGAATCCCCACCCACGAGAGTCACAGACAGCGGCTCCTTTGTTACCTGCCCAGGTGTCTCACACGGGCAGGCTGGTTCTCCAGATGTCCGGGTGATTGGATGGTGGGGTTTGATGTCACGGCCTGGAGGAAGGGCCCAGACACGTTCTGAAAGACGTTCCAGAAGCTTCTGTCACATCTGACCCCAGGGAAGCCCTAGAGCATCTAGTTCACCCTGTTCATTTGATTAATTTTTTTTCAAAATGAGGAGGGTGCATGCGTTGGCCCATAGGAGAGTCAGCAGTTTGCGTGGCTCCTGCGGGGGAGGCCTCATGGATTGTCGGGCAGAGCCTGGCGAGTGCGGATTGCAAAACACCTTGTCAGGGTGTCGGCACCTCCCGTTTACAGGTTCATACACAAAGGTGAGGCCGTCCTCTGATTTTACCTGATACCTCGCTCGGAGGTCATGAGGACGTTAGNTTTACCTGATACCTTGCTTGGAGGTCATGAGGACATTACGTGAGGGTTGAGTGAAGCATCAGGACCTTATGCGTGCTGTGGACGCTGGGTCACAGACGCTGGCAGAACCCCGACGCTGGATGTCAGAGTGCTGAATTGGTGTCGAGAGCTGGGGCCGTGTCTGGATGGTGGGGTCGCTTCATGTGCACGTGAGCCGTGTGCCTTACCCATCCAGCTGTCTGCACGGGTTGCCCGGTGTCCTGACGGGGTGGACTGAGGGAGACGGTGTGGCTGGACCATGTCCCATACTGGTGTGGTTACTGTCAGAACGGACAGTGCAGGGCAGCGACACAGAGTTAAAAAAAGGTTCACTTTGGCAGGGAGGCCTGTGAGCAGGTTCCTGTTGGCTCAGGGCCCTTAAGTATTAAATGTGAATGAAAGCCTGGTGGATGTGCTCGGTGGTTAGAGCTTTGGCCCACACACCGAGGGGTTGAGGGTTCAGTTCCCAGTCAAGGGCTTCTACCTGGGTTGAGGGTTCAGTCCCTGGCCCCAGGTTGGGGCTCGTGCAGGAGGCAGCCAATCGATGTGTCTCTCTCACATCCATGTTTCTCTTTTTCTCTCCCTCCCTTAAACTTTTTCTTAAAAAAAAAAAAAATCAATGGAAAAAATAACCTGAGGTGAAGATTAACTAAAAGCAGAAACAAAACAAAGAAAAAAACGTGAATGAAGCATTAACATCTGATAGGTGTCCCTGTAGCATTTAGTGGCTTCACAGGAGTCGCAGCAGCACCAGGGAAGCATCGTGCATTTACCTAAAATTAGCAGGTTCCAGGTCTGCTCTTTGGGTGGGTTCCCACTGGCTGAGGTGGTCAGGCCCTGTCGGCCGCGATCTTGGCCTCTTTGCAGCCTCGCAGCCTGACCTGCAGTCACTCTGCCTAAAGGGAGTCCACATGGGAGCCTCGCTCATGTGCACCTCGTGGGTGTCACCTTATCCCCCAGTCCCTGGACCATAGCAGGCACTCAGTAAATGTTCAATATTGAATGAACTGCATCAAACAAAAATCGTTGCCAAACACTAGGCCCTTGGCTGGCGCAGCACAGTTAGTATTACAGTCGTTACCTGTTTGTCCCCAGCGTGTCCGATGCATCCCAGCCCCAAGCGCCATTCCGGGCGCAGTCACTGCAGTGAGTTAGAGCGGCTGCTGTGCTGCTGGTAATAAGGTCCCTGCCTCTTCCCTCTGGGTGAACTGATGCGGTCTCGTGCACTGGAGTGGGACAGTGACCACCGCATCTGTGAAGGTGACCTGGGTGCCCTGGCCCTTGTGAGCTGCACCCTGAGGTCAGCACGCTCAGGGGTGTCCTCCTCCCTGCACCCTGAGGTCAGCAGGCTCAGGGGTGTCATCTTCCCAGCTGTAGAGACATTTTTAATTCAGGGGAGTTTGGTTGTGGGGACAGATACAGATAAGAGAGGTAGAGATAAGAGACCAAGTGGGGTCAGGACCCTTTCTGTCATTCTGTCCTTCCCAGGACGGCCTTGGAGATGCGGAGCAGCTGGTTCCTTGGACTCGCTTGTGAGCATATCCAGTTGTGAGAAGAGTAAACCAGGATGCAGGGTGGGCTCCACCATCCCTCTCGGTGACACCCGCATGAGGGCTTCCCGTGATGCCGGAGGGGTCTGGAGCAGAGGTGCTCACTCAGGATGCAGCGCATGCAGAAAATTAGGGCCTTTTAATGAAACAGCTGTGGTGGTGGTGTTATCTCATCGGACAGGAAGCTGCACACGGGTTACAGCTGAGTAGCAAATTGGTTGGAACATCCCCTGCTGAACATGTCCTTTAATCAAAAGACGTGTCCTTTGCAGTCCGTGCCTCTTTTTTTCTGTTATTTTCGTGGGTGGTTTTTATTTCTCTGCTGGGATCTGGTCCCTCACAGGCCCTGTTGTAGAATGTGCCCCGCTGTGTCATTTACTGCACATCTGGAGCTCCACATGGGACTCTGGGTGCTGCGCCCTCGCTCTGAGCTTGGTCCCCTCCACGCTGAGCTTGGGTGCCGTGCGGGGCCCCCTGTGGAACTCGCTCATGTAGAAATGTGCTCATGGGTCTGTTCCATGCGGGTTCCTTGGGTCGAGTGCATGTTATGTTTTCATTCTGTGGGGAGAAGCCCAGTTACCTTCTGAGTGAGCGGATGTCCCCAGGGTGGGTCCATAGGCGTGTGGCCGAGTGGCACTGTGGGTCTAGAATTAGCCATGGAAAGAGGGGCTCAGGAGAGGTGGAGCCATGGGGAGCTTGGGGGACACACTGTGAAGGCCCAGCGAGCTCAGTGGGCCCAGGAGCAGAAGCCCAGGAGGCTGGACGGCCCCTACCCGGGTTTGGGAGCTGAGCGGAGATGGCACCCCGGAGGAGGGCCTTGGACACCAGGATGGGGTTGTGGCCTCAGACATAATTGATTTGCTTTCAGAAAGGATTGACCTGGCTGCTCTGTGGGGAAAGAGAGACTAGTGTGTTGGGGTGACAGTGGAGTCCAGTGGCCAAAGCTCGGGAGGTGGCAGGTGGTGGCAGGAGGGGGGATTTCAGCAGATTTGGGAGGTAGTGGGTAGAGCAGGGAAATGGCCAGGTCTCCTAAGGGACTGGGGTGATGTTTCCTTGATGGGACAGACCAAGGGGTGACCAGGAGTTGAAGGGA